AGAAAAAAGGATATGGCTGAAGCCCATTAGAACACTGTGACCTCTGGCACTGTGAACAGGCCTAACAACTATAAGTTCAAATCCCATTTCTGATACAGACTTGCTAAGACTTGTCACTACTTTCTTGTTCCTCTATTTCATCATACATAAACTAAGTTTTAATAGTTTATAGACATCTGATGTTATAAATTCCAGTTGTGCTTATTTGGATATGGCAAAAATATGTGAAATTTTAAAACTGTGTTATGTCTAATAGACCTCTAAATTACTTTTAACTTCAATGAAGACTGCCTCATCAAAATCTAAATAGAATTTTACTTTTTGAAGTGGTAGTGGGTATACGACAACACATTTCTAAAATGTATCTGAAAGATAAACTTCAAAGTCACACATATTTCTCAAAAATATGGACAATGGTAAGTAACTTGCCCTAGAAGAGGGGAAAAAAACTTTTTTTTTCCCATTTGGAGAGAAGAGGGAACTCAATAGAACTCAAGACTATAGTTAGCCTTATACAGTCAACTGAGTGCTTTATTTATCCCACCTACAATATATTTATTCAAGTATCTAAAACTAGCATAAAATACATTTTTAAAACCTTAGAAAAGAATTTCCAATACTTGGGCCTGCCTTTATATTTTTAAGATAACAGCATGGCACTTACATTTTTTTCTTTCAGAAACCTGATACTTCTGAGTTTAAGAGAATGCTTATTGTGAAAATAAAAAACAGATGTTGGAGCGAATAATGGAGAAAGCAGAGTTAAACTGCCTCTCATTAGCTCTGTATTCTAGCCCAAGTTCACTAACAGATTGTGTGACTCTAGGAAAGTCATTTTACTACACTATACTCTTCATTGGTTTTTTTAAAAAAGCAACTGTAAGAAGTTTACCTACCTATCTAGAATCTTTACAGAAACTGTTTTAGAGAATCTTGGAAAGGAAAGGAGAAAAAAAGAATAAAAGAACAGCTATTTCCAATTGCAAAAGAGTAATATAGAACATAAGGAAAGTAGAGAAATCAGAGCAGGACAAGGGAGACAGAGACAGTATTCATGGAGAGTTACAGTGAAACACTAAGGAAGATAATCCCAAGGAATTTGTTAATTTTCAACCAGAGAAAACACAGATCACTTACCAGTTACTGAGCGCTAACAAGTGACTCCTATAGCTAATTACCAGATACAAATTTAAATTTTAAATTATTTAATCTTTACAACACTAATAAAGAGGTTCTGTTATGTCTGTTCTAAAACAAGAAAATTGAGGCGCAGAGATTAGCTAACTTGGGTAAAATCCCAGGACCAGAAGTGGCAGAACCAGCTCTACAACAGTTTCCTATACTGACAATGTGGTGATGGGCCTAAAAGTTAAACATGAACACTTTAGGATGCTACCACAGGTCACACAGATGCGACTATCTTAAAGAGGTCAAGTACTAAGGGCATAGGCATAAACGATGGGAAAAATACTAGTGCAAGGATGAGCAAACAAGACACACATAAAATGTATGAGCAGCTAGATCTTTAAATATTCTATAAATTTTAAAATGGGCTTTAGAATCTAATTGCTTAAGAATTCTAAATGACTTGAAAATCTTTGAAACACACATTTAATTGAACATTTTATGGTATAAGAGAATGCAGAAAAATCCCTAAAGGAACAAAGAGCCATTATAAATGGAATAGGAGGAACTACCATGTGATATATATTATGTGCAAGGCACTATAAATTTCCTTTACATTCTTTATCTCATTTAATCCTCACAACACAGTAAATACAGTATTATCACCTCCATTTTAAAAAGACAAAAATTAAGGCTTGAGAAGATTTAACAACCCATCTAAAGTCAAGCTGGCAATTAGTAAATTTATAGTAAACACTAGGAAAACTGTAGAATACACAAAATACACTTAATAGAATGGATATTTGCTAAGCTTGGATCAAATTTAATCCCACAGAACTCAAAGGAAATCTTTTCACCCCTCAAAATCATTCAAAAGACCAGACTGCCAGTCAAGCTGTCATGACTATAGATGGGAAAAGAAATTAAAGGAAAGTGGTAAAGTTGTCCTTATTGCTTTGGATGTATCTTATCTATATTCCCTCTTGCTGCCTCTATATATGTGGTCAAAGGACCATTCAAACAGACTGTCGAATCTGAACAAAGGGAATATATGAGTGAAAAACCCAAGGTGTGAACATTAACTATTTCATAAACATACATGCAGTTAGAGGCAATGCCAACTCATTCATCTAACACTAAAAGACAGTGGGCTGAGGTGGGTGGATTGCCTGAGGTCAGGAGTCCAAGACCAGCCTGGCCAACATGGTGAAACCCTAGCTCTACTAGAAATACAAAAATTAGCTGGGCATGGTGGCAGGCAACTGTAATCCAGCTACTGAAGCAGGAGAATTGCTTGAATTTGGGAGGCGGAAGCTGCAGTGAGCTGAGACTGTGGCACTGCACTCTAGCCTGGGCAACAGAGGGAGACTCAGTCTCAAAAAAAAAAAAAAAAAAAAAAAAAAAAAAAAAAAGAAAAAAAAAAAAAAAAAAAAAAAAAAAAAAAAAAAAAAAAAAAAAAGGACAGTAGTTAGGCATAATCAAAATATACTCTGAAGTTCTTGGTGTTTGTTTTATTAGTAAGAAGAAAGAAAATATAACTTGGATGGAATTTTATCTCATCTTATTGACAGGCAGTAAGAAGGGAGATCTCTGATAAAAAGAAAATATATTAAATAGAGTAAGAAGTAACATAGAACAGGATATTTTTATTGTATAGATGGGAATATGTTAGGGAGAAGATTAATATCACACACAGGGAAGGGCAGAGAAAACTAGACATCCCTTCCTTGCCTCCACTTCCATGTAAAGAAACCACAGGGTGAGGTTTAAAAGAGCAGGATTACAGACATAGGGCAAATGGGGCAATTTAGGGCTTTTCTCCTGAGGTTTCTTATACATTCCAAAGGAATGGAAAAGGAACATGAAGTATTTACAGACTGCTATCACTTCACAGAAAAGAGAGACAGAGAACATCCAATTTGCTTCTGGGTTGTCCAACTCAGATCATCAACAGAGTAAAAAATGAAGTAATTTAAGAGAGAACTTCTGGCCAGATATAAAGATTGTGCTTATTCACACATTTTCCTTGTGCTATAGGAATCTGAACGCGTGGATGGGTGCAAGAGGGAAAGAAACTTTACAATTACTTGATGTTGTGAGAAAAACATGGAGTCAGGGCCAAGAACTTCGCTACTGATGTGATGATGAGCAAGCCTTCTAATATTTTTAATGTTCAGCTACCAAACATGTAAAATGAAAAATACTTCTCCTCCTTACGGCAAAAATCATTATGTGCAACAAATATAAGCAAAGCTTTTATGGCTAAAAGAAGAAGGTATAATAAAGAGAAAATAATAATTCTGATTCTGATCATAAATAAAAAAGTCAAATTTCAAATTTGTTTTTATAAAATAAATTGAAAGAATATGGACATGTTTGTAGCTTTTAGAAATAAATTAGCTGAGAATATATTATTTTTAAAAACTGTAATAAATAAATGCACACTGAATACAAATCAATAACTATCCTTAAAAAACAAAATTTTAATGGTAGAAGAAAAGGCAGATCATCTCGTTTAAGATACAAATGTAAAATTCTTAACAAAAACCCTGTTACTCAAGCAGAACACATAAACAGCTGCTCTTTTTTAATAAACCTGAGGGTCGGCTTGCTCTGTCTCTCCCTGCATGGCTCCAGAAAATTTCTACAGGAGTTCTCCTATGAAACAGTTTTAAAACCACAGACTGAGTACTACCACTAATTTCTAAAAAATGAGAAGAATATGGTCAAGAGGTAAAGTTCTTCAAAGGCAACCAGAGTCAGGACTAGAACCCAACTCTCTTGATTTAGTCTAATATTCTTTAGTCTAATAGTCCAGTATTAGCTCTTTTTTTTTTTTAAGAAGAAAATATGAAGTTCTTTTTTTTTTTTTTTTTTTTTTGACTTTGTAAATACTTCTTTCAAATCTCCTTCTGGCTCAAGATCACTCAACTGTAATCTTTCTGTAAACAAGTAACTGATAATATAGGTGAGATCAAATAAGTTAAAAACAAGTCAGTCACCCCAAGTTCATTCTGTTCAGGATTAAGTAAAGGTAACATTTGTAGGGGAAGGTGTTCAGACTACAAGCTGTGGTGCTTCGAGAGCACCAGTATCGTTGTAATTGCCTGAAAACTTCAAGATAAAGTATTTCCATGGGGCATCATGGAAGTTTAACAGAATGTGTTAGACTTGAACGTTCAACAGCTTGCTCATTTTGTCAAAAGCCCTTTCACTGAATGTGGGAAATTTGTAAAACGGAACCTCAATAAATAAATAACGATTTTTAATTTAAGAGCCCAGAAAAAAATGTTAATGATTCTCATTCAGATTTCTTATCAAAAGTCAGTGTGAAATATAACTAATTTATCGCAAGCAATTTTATCAGAAACTGTTCATTATCTTTTCCCTCATTTAAAAAAACCAAACTGCTTTTACGTGCGCTTTCAACAATGTTAGAAACATAAGCATACTCAAATTTTTTGTACCACATATAACACTTTACATGAACCTTCAGATATTAAGTAACGCTTGGATCCTGAATTCTTTGTAAAGCCGTTTATAAGAGGTAAATATCTTCACGACCGCCAAGTGGGAGAAAAATATTTCGAAGTTCCTCTCTTTAGTCACTACGAGGAATGCAAAGGAACTCAACTGCAGCTATGTGTGTTTATTTTTAATGGCGCGATCCTAAAAACATCTTCAGGAGTTTAGGTTTGCTTCACTGCCTTTTCCTAAATTCATAGGCTTTGATTTACCTCTTCCAGGAAGACAGGAAGCCAAAAAACAGGGAAAAATGCAAAGGGCGACAATTACAAGGTCGTGAAACCCCACGACCTCCCAGCTGAAAACATGACCTCGGGTTTGCACTACGGCTCTCTAGGGCAGACACTGACCTTAGGAGTCTGCGAAACGCCCACGCTCCACGTAACTTTCTCTGAAACATTCTCTGGAAAGCTTGTCTTTTCCTAGCCGAATCCAGATTACCAAGGCTTCCGGAACTCGCGGGCTTCCGGAGCGACGCAGGAGCCGGAAGTGGCTGAAAAAAAAAAAAAGTTACACCAACTAGAACTGCGCTTTAGCGCTGCGGAAGGCCAGAGATGGCCAAACAATCCCGAACGCAGAAAAGCCGAAGAGCCGAAGGGCCGAGAAGCCAAGGCGGACACCCGCGCACGATGATTGGTCGGTTGCCAGGAGGAACTCTGTCTCTGATTGGCAGGAGAGTCACGAACCAGTCAGGCCCGGGTCAGGGGCCGCAAGTGAAGAGGCTACAAGTGTCAAGGGGCCCATGGGAAGCCGGGGCTTGTGAGGGCAGGGTTTTCTCGGCCTGTGGCCGCCGCCAACAGCCTCCGACAAGCGCCGCTGGGTGGCGGCTAGAAGCCTCCGCACCTCTGGGGCTCCTTATTCGCTGTAGGAGGAGGACGGGCTGAGGGATGGCCTGGTTGGGAGGGAGCCCTTGGACAGGTGGCGGCTTCGGGCCTGGGGCAGTTGCGCGGCTCTTGGAGACCTACTGGTCCTCAGGGCCTGTGTGCACAGGGAGGGTAGCTTGTTGATCTCTGCAGGCTCAGGAAGGCAGGTGCCTGGCCCGTCAGTTATCTGCCCTGCAAAGCGCTCCCTGGAGACCCCGTAGAGCAGACCGGACGCGCTCTCGCCTTCCCAGCCGCCCGCGCCTGGCCTCAGGTTTCCCGCCCCCAGAGGCCGTCAGATCTCCCCGGTAACACTTAGGAACTCGAGCAGCCAGGTCTCCGACCCCTGGGGAATGAAGGCAGAGTTTCTGGAAGTGGGGTCTGAGGGAAGAGTGCTCACCAGGCAGTGACGTGTAGCCGGCGTTGAGGATCGCCATTGCCTTCTCGTTCTGAGGTATGGTTGGCAGCGTCTCTCTGGAGAGTTCTAAGGTTTGGATGAACGCAGGCTCTTAGGATTCCAGCACAGAGTAGGGTTTAAGACCTTCTTAGTTCTTGCCCCCAGTCTCGACTCCCCGTCCCTCCAAGGAGCACTCAACTTCTACAAAAGCTCTGTTAGGCATTGGAGGGAGAGTTTATCCTGTAGAAACGGTGTTATTAGAAAAGTTTTTTTTTTTTTTTTTTTTTGCTTGTATTTTTATTTCAGAAACTACCCGTGGAGCAGACTTGCTAAACTCATCCTATGAAATATTATGGCCAGATAAAAGAAAATTTATTAATGAACTCTAATGCTATCCAAATTGTGCAACAATGGTACAAACGAAATAAGAGTAGAAGCTGTAAGTGGGTAGGGTATGTAGCTCACAGGGGTTTGGGAGTGCATTTTCTAGAGCTACAGCTGTCCAATATATTAGTCACTGGACACCTGAAAAGTGGCTAGTCTGAACTGAGTTCTGCCCTAACTGTAGAACATGCACCAGATTTCTAAAGCATGGTCTGAAAAGAAAAAGTGTAAAATATTTCATTAATTTTATACTGATTACATGTCAAAAGGAGAATGTTTTGGAAAATTTTAAATTATGTATGTGGTTTCCATTATATTTCTAATAGATACTGCAGTTCTAAGAGTAAGAAAATCTCGTTGAAGAAGAGTACACCTTTCATTTAGCAATTGTGAAGAAAAGCAACCACGCTGTACCTCTCAGGTAGCCTATAGATGTACTGTGCTTCACTTAATTTTTGAGGTGGGGGGGAAATACACACAAAGACTTGACATAAAGGACATTTTCGGAAAAGAAGTTCTGGTTCATAGAGCCTTATGTAGGTCATGTGAACATCACACAGTATCAAATGAAAATATTAAAGGTATCAAGAAACTTGAAACATGTTTAATGAATCTCAAGAATGTGGGGAAACGTATAACACTTAAAATTCTGTTGAAAATGTTTAAAATCAATTCTAGATTTTAATGTTTAACCTGCAGATACGGTATACCTTGTTAGTTTTCCCATGAGCTAGTGAGCTGAGGTTCCAGGGAAGCTTTATTTGCAGTTTCTTATACTTTAGAAATATATTTATTTTTCATTCATTTACTTAACAAAAGCTTGCTGAGGCCAGGGAGTTTTGCTAGGTAGTGTTGATAAAAATGTGAAGACAGAAAACAGACATGGCCCTTACTCTCTGAGAACTAATTCATATTGATTCAGAGACATTGAATAAGTAAATAATAACCACAGCATAGAATATTTTGCTTCCTAGTAAGTGCTTACCTCTGTAAATGCAAAACATGAGTTATTTTAAACCTAGAATTTATATATTCCTAGTGACATGTTAAGAGTCTTTATTAGTGGCCAGGAGTGGTGGCTCACGCCTATAATCCCAGCACTTTGGGAAGCCGAAGTGGGCGGATCATGAAGTCAGGAAATCGAGACCATCCTGGCCAACATGGTGAAACTCCATCTCTACTAAAAAAAAAAAAAAAAAAATACAAAAATCAGCCGGGCATCGTGGTGGGCACCTGTAATCCTAGCTACTGAGGAGGCTGAGGCAGAATTGCTTGAACCTGGAAGGCAGAGGTTGCAGTGAGCCGAGATCACACTGCTGCACTTCTGCCTGGTGACAGAGCGAGACTCCATCTCAAAAAAAAAAAAAAAAGTCTTCATATTATAACTTGGCTATGGACTTAAAAAAATTGGGGAAAAAAAATCAAAGTTAATTTGTTCATTATGAGAAGCTAAAGAAAAATTTTAATTGAATCTTTTTGTGTTTAAATACATAGAAAAGATGAAAATATTTTATATTATGTCCTCTTTAGCCTTTTAGCAACTTTTAGATTCTAATGATTTAATAGTGGAAATGTATAAGACATTGCTTCATGCCCCAATTAGTTTTAAAATGCTGACTTTAAGAAGTTAAATTTATTTTAGAATATTACATAGTTTGTAAATCAGTATGTTTGACTCTTTTAGGAAAAAGTTAGGCATAGATCTTATATTAGTTTACTATTAATACTATTTCTGTAACCAAGTTAGAAGCTCAAAACACCACCAATATATTACCTTACAGTTCTGTAAGTCAGAAGTCCAACATGGTTCTCAAAGGCCTAGAATTAAGGTGTCCACAGGCCTGTGTTCCTTTCTAGAGGGTTAAGGGAAGAATCTGAATTTTTGCTTATTCAAGTTGTTGGACAAATTCTGTCCCTTGCTGTTGTAGCTGTTGTTCTGTTTCTTTGCTGGCTGTCAGCTGAGAGGCCACTCATGGTCCTTGGTTATGGCCATCTTCATCTTCAAAGTCAGTGTCAGTGGATTGAGACCCCTTCATCCTTCTAAATATTTCCTTCCTCTTCTTCCATTGTTGTATCTCTCCAATTACAGCCTTTTAAGAATCCATTGATTAGACTGAATCTACCCCTCTCAAGGTTCATAACTTTAATTACATCTGCTATTCCCTTTTGCCATAATAATGTAACATTCACAGGTTACAGGGATGGGGGAATGGATATATTTAGGAGCCATTATTCTTCCTACCTTAGATCTCAATTGGGGCCATGCAGTATATCCAGTATTTCATACCACTGTTCTCAATACTTTATGTTAGAATAATGATATTGATAATAGGTGAATTTTATTGGTTATGTAATAGGCTCAAGGTACTTCTCTGCGCCCTTTTACTGAATTCACTCGTTTAATCCTCAAAACTACCCTGGGAGGCAAACACTATTATTATTACTGCTTGCAGATAAGGAAACAGATACTGAGGGCTGAAGTAACTTGTCAAATTTCTTTCAGCTATTAAATGGCGAAATGGTGATTTGAACCTAGGTAGTCTGGTTTCAGAGTTTGTGCATGCTCTGAACCTCAACATAATAAAAATAATTTCTACATATCTGTATTTAACTAAACATGTGTTGATCGTGGCTATGAATTCAACTTCTGACATCACTTTGTGGATTCAAATTCTACCTACCTGTTCACTGAATGACCCTGGGCAAGTTACTTAACCTCTCTGTGACTTAACAATAAACTAAATTGAACCAATAATAATACTTGAGAATTAAACAAATACTATATGTAAGGTGCTTAGAACACTGCCTCTACATACAGTCTTCGATTTCATGATGATAGGGATATGTTTTGAGAAGTGTGTCATTAGGTTATTTTGTTGTGTGAACATCATAGAGTATACTTAAACAAGTATATATATAGTAGACTAGATGGTGTAGTCTACTATACACCTAGGCTATACGGTATAACCTTTTGCTTCTATGCTACAAACCTGCACAGCATGTTACTGTACTGAGTACTATGGTAAGTATTTGTGTATGTAAACATGTCTAAACATAGAAAAAGTGCAGTAAAAATATAGTATTATAATCTTATGAGACCACTGTTGTATATGTGGGCTATCATTGACTGAAACATTATTATGCACTCCAAGCAATTGCTAGCTATAATTAATGATGACAATTCAACTTTTAAAAACTGTATTTATTATAAAAAGAAATGTCTCCTTTAGATATCAGTCTCTTCTTGTGAAACAAAAAACTGAAAATTAAAATTTTAACTTTAATGCACTACAGTGCTATCTTTTTTCTCAGACTGATTTCTTCTCACTCCAGTCTAGCATCTATCTTTCTAACCATGGTACTTTCAGTGTTACCTGATCATGCATTCTAAACACTTTGTCTAGATCCTAGTATCTGCAGGCTAATGTTCAACTCTCTAGAAGGACACCAGGACTTTTCACACATTCCAGAGACTCTCTCTTGCCAATCCTCTGCTGGATATTTATACAGCCATCAATTCTAACTTCTCACTGTTCTCACTTGCTATTATTCTTTGAGGGAGACCCATGTGTTGTGGAGGGGATTGTGGGGGTATGGACAATGACATATCCTGGGTCCCTGTCCATAATGCCTGCTAATACCACTCCAAATTCACTCTCTTTCCTAATAATCTTTCCTGCAGTTGCCTTAATTCAAACTGTTATTATCCTTGCATTTTAAGTGATCTCTTAACAAATTGGTGGCTTCCAGCCTCACTGCCCTTCAGGCTCAATGTCCTCTTTGCTTGCTGGAATGATCTCTACACTACAAAACTCTATGTGTCACTCTCCTTCTTCAAACCATTTGGTGTCCCCTCTGCCAGTTACTACAAATATTCCTCTTTTTTTTCTGTGCCTCTTGGCACCAGCTACATGCTTCTACT